AAAGCGCGCTCTCGCGGCCGATCCAGGGCCGGCAGAGATCGGGGACGAGGGCAGGAGGGACCACGAGGCAGGCATGGCCCCAGACGGGTGACCGCACGTCGGTTTAAATTCCAGCCGCGTCCAAGGCAGGCCTGACAGGAGCTCGTCGGGGCTGGGTGGGGGCTGGGCGGAGGCGTGCGGGGCGCAGGCGCAGCCTCCCAGCGTGGAGGAAGCAGTTCTGAGACACCACCGGTGTGAGCCCACCGACTCCTCCGACCCCGCCACCCTGGGGACGGGACGGGCAGGCCCCCATCTACGGAGAGGCCCCAGCTGGGGCAAAGAGACCAAGTTCCCACAGAGAAAGGACACTGAGATCTCAGGTCAGAGGCAGTAATGCCAGAAGAATGTGGAGACACCTCCCCGCGGCCATGCCCCCGCGGCCATCCCCACGGGACAGGGGCCGGGAGAGCCCAGAAAGGGGCCTGCGAAGAGGCCTGGACCGCTCAGCCCCACCCCTGCCCCAGCACAGCAGAGCCCCTGGGGGCTTCAGGGGCTGCATGGACAGCAGAGGAACCGCCTCCAAAATTCGAAATTTGGAAAACCCCATGTCTTTGACGAGAACCGGCCCCTGCTTCACGGCACTGGCCGAAAGCGCTGGACCTTCCCAGGCAAAGGCAGGAGGAGGGAGGCGGTCCTCACTGGGTCTGGGTCTCCTCCCTGTGTCCTGGGCATCCACATAAGAGATGCTAGTGAAAGACCTGAGACTAGAGAAACTAACTCCCCAGGAGGCCGGGAGGTGGGGGGCCCAATGCAAGTCTTCGAGAAAAGACAGCTAACACCTGGCACCGGAGCACGTGGAGGAATCGGAACCCTCGTGCGCCGCTGGTGGGAACGCAGGACGGGGCCGACACGGGGAAACAGTGGGCAGCTCCTCAAGAGGTTAAACACGAGTCACCGCAGACCCAGCAGTCCCCACCCCAGGAATGTGCCCAGGAGAAGCAAAACACGTCCACACGAAGACTTGTAAGTAAACGTCCACAGCAGCCCAGAGGTGCAGGCTGCCCAAATACCCATCACCTGGCGCTGGATACACAGCAGGGCACAGCCGTACAGTGGGACGGTGCTCAGCCACCAACAGGAGTGACGTGCTGAGCTCTGAAAACACGGTACCAGATGCAGAGCCCGCGTGCATGACTCCGCTTACGTGAAACATCCAGGACAGGCAGATGCACAGAGACAGGAAGCAGACTGGTGATCATCAGGGGCTGTGGGGGTTTCAGGGGAGATGGAGGGAATTGGGCGGGGGGGGGGCGCGGCTATGGCATACGGAGTTCCTTTTTCAGGTACAAAACAAATTCTACAACTGACTGCGGTGACAGTAGCACAGCTCTGAGCACACACTAAAAACCACTGAGTCGTACGCTTTACACGGTGAAGTCCGTGCGTGCGAGTGACGCCTCAGTGAAGCCGTCACCAAACGAAATTCCTCAAAGAAGTGGAGGGATCCACACCATTAGAGCAAGTGAGAAGGCCCGGACCCGAGGCTGGCCCCGATGAGGCCCCAGCGGGCCCCCTGCACCCCGGGATGGACGGCGGAGGCCCTACACACACACGGGGCTGGGGCGGGGGAGACAGAGGACAAGTGCCCGAGGTGCCCAGCCCAGGGGAGGGGCTCGCGGACCCCCGACACAGAGCCACATGCGCAGCGAGCTGCCGTCCCCAGGTCCAGGCGGAAAGAGGGGCTGCTCAGGAGCTGGCCCGGCAAAAAGGGAACCAGCTCCAAACTGACGTTCAGCTCCGAATACGCAGCAGGACAACGGCCCTCCAGGCAGACACCCAAGAGCGAGCTGTGCTCTCAGAATCCTACCGCTTGGCTACGTCTCTTTCCCAAGAAACAGTCTTACCATGTAAGGGTGGGACTGAGTTCTGAAACGACAGCCTGCAAGAATCCACCTTCTCAGTTCACTTCTAGCAAAACAACAACGACAACAAAACCACGTAAAGAACCAAAAGCTAGAAACCTCCCTTGTCAAAAATCCAGCCATCTCGAGCAAAGCAATTAGGTATGCAAGCCTAGCCACCCCTTGCCAGCGACGGGGTGGGGGGTGGCAGCACAGCCCGACTGGGGACTGCCGGGAAGAGCTCCGGGCTCTCTGGGGGCCCCCTGGAACAGGCCCAGGCAGCCCAGCCAGGCCAGGCCCCTCCCCGCAGGCTCAGGACGGGCCCCAGCTCAGACAGGGGCCCTGGAGGTCAGGGCTTCGGCAGGTCACGGCTATGCCCTCAACAGTGCAGCACCGTGGCTCGCTTTCCATCCCGCCGTCTCAAGCACGAACGGTGGAGCTTTCCGGGGCTGTGACATGCGATGACATCACCCTCTGAGAGCTACTGAAACTGTCTCAGTTTCCACTTGCCTCAGGGTCCACCCACTGACCTGGCAGACACTGGTGGTTATGACCGACGAGACCAAGGACTCTGTGGGGCTCTCCAAAATTTCTAAGGGTGTAAGGGGTAAAAGTTTGAGAACCAATGTACTCTGGACGGTGACCACCCCCTCGTGTGTCACATCACAGGGTGAGGAGCGACCCGAGGGCCCTGTGTGGGGACTAAGGTAGCCGCACTGTCCCAGACCCAAGCAAGCCGGGCGGGCAGATGAGGAAAGAGCTGCCCGCCAGACGAGACGCCCTGGGGGTCTCAGGACGTCAGGGCCAAACCATGGTGAAAGTCCACATCCAGAGCGTTAACGGGATCGCCTCTGGATGAAGAAGAGGTAGTGAGGGGAGACCACGAAACTACGGAAGCAGATACGCATCACCCGTCACTTGAGCACGAAAGGCAACAGTGCCCGCCCTTCCCAGCAGGGCCTGGTTCTAACTCAGACCCCTCCTCCTTGGCCCGCACCCTCCAGGAAGAGGCCGATGCCACACACTGTGAGGCCTGGCCACACAGTGGAGCTTGGTTTCCAGACGATGAAACTGGGCAAGAACAAATCCCTGCCCAGGCCGGGCCACCGTCTGCACAGTGGGTCAACAGGGGCACATGCCACACAAAGACAGAGTCACCAAGCAGCTCTTCTGAAACCTACTATAAACCAAGGAGCTAAAATGTCCTTCACTCGAGAATCGGCTGCTCTCACCGGCCATGCTACAGGGGACTGGTTAGCACCCACCCCTGCTTTTCCAGGCCACTGGGGAAGAGCGGCCCCAGACCAAGCTGCACACATTAAGAAAGCTGTGGGTGAGGACAGATATGTCTCTACTGGCCCTTAAGTCAGAAGCCACCCACTGCTTACCAAAACAAAGGTTCCTTCCCGATACAAACAAGATGCAAAACTCCATACAGCCTTTAAGAAAAACGAAGACTCAGAGAGAACCGGTTGCTAAACAAAAGTAAATTAAGGGATCCACTTTAATGTCCACAGAGAGAAGTGTGTGTATACAGTCGGAACACAACAAAAATGCTCTAACTTGGAATCAAAGATTACTGGAAAGAATGTTTGCACAGCAAAATTCTTCTCCCTTTGAGACTGAAATGCCCCCACCGTGCTTAATTTTCCTGACATTTCTGAGGCTTTGAAGCCACAGCTAACGGATCTGAATCATCTGAGTAAAACCATGTTAGCGTGGATGTTACTGCAAAGCCGAGAATAGAATGCTAAAGCCCATACCGGGCACTTCTGTAGAAAATGATCGATCGCGAAACTAGATAAAGTTGTCCCGTCTGTGCCCAAGTCAGAGGGCCCGCAGTTCATCTCCAGCAGGGAAGCATAATACATGGCGCTTGGAAGTTAAAATAAGAAAAACACAAAAACAGCGCCTACCTTTGATTAATAAAATCACACCTCGCCTGTACATGAACTTAGCCTACAGAAACATCCCACCCATGCTCGCTGCCTGCAAAGGGAGGCTCGGAAGAGGCAGGGATGCAAGTCATGTTTGCACCAGTGGTCTGCGTGGTCAGTGGCCACACCCTCACCGCGGGAGGAGCTGCGGGAGGAGGGGGCGGGCAGTGCGAGGCCGCCTCAGGCTCCATCTGGGCCATCACCCTTTTTTTCTTAAACAAGCACGCCACTTGCAGCCACATTCTGCTTTATTTGGGTTGGCAGTATAAGTACCAACAGCGGGGTGGCACCGTGGCTGCAACGCCGAACTGGGTCAGCCTCCGCCTGCCTCGGGAGCCGGGGGAGCGCCGGGCCTTGGCAGACTCTTCTCCCAAAGGCCTCGGGTGCCTGGGTGGGAGGTCTCAGAAGGTAAAGGCCTTGGGCAGTCAGCATCCTTTTCTCTGGCCTTGAAAAGCTTCTTGCATCTTTCTCTTTAACAGACAAGAAACATAAAGTCCTCCAGGGCTTTCAACAGAAACCCCTTGTTTGAGAACTAGAGAGCTACTAAGTTACAAGGTAAAACGAGGGTGCCTACACCTCCGAGCAGCCACAGACAGCTCTGCAGACAAAGCAAGCAGACGGGCAGGGGCGAGGGCCACGGAGGGCCGGGTCGGGAGTCACAGGCCAGAAATCAGGGGCTGGGGCTCGGGAGACACGGGCTACGGTTTGGGGACCAGGATTCAGGGCTGAGCTTCTGGGGACAAAATTCTGTACCAGGGTTGGGACCAGGTTCAGGGTATGGGGCCCTCGGACTAGGGCTCGGGGGCCAGGATTTGGGGACCTTGGACAGGGATTAGGACTGGTGTTTAGGGACCTGGGTTCAGGGACTGGGCTCCGGGTTCAACCTATGGAGTGTGAAGGCTGGACCAGGAGACCAGGATTCCAGCGCCCAGGGCCAGGGTTCAGGGCTGGGGTCCTGGGTCCAGGGCTCAAGTTTCAGTGTCTTGGTTCCAGGGTCCCAGGGCTCAGGACTCAGTGTCTGGGTCCCAGGGTCCCAGGGTCCCAGGCTTCAGGCCCGAGTCCGGGGTCCCGGGGCTCTGGGGTCAGTGTCTGGGTCCCGGGATTTCGGACTTCAGGACAGGGGTCCGGGGTCCCGGGGCTCAGGGTCCGGGGTCCAGGGTGCCGCGTCCGGCGCCGCACTTACGTCGTCGAAGAGCGAGCCCACGTTGGCCGTGACCAGCAGCACCGCGGTGCCCGGGGCGGCTGCCTTCCCCGCCATCGCGGCCTGGGCCGGGGTGGCCGCTCTTCGGGGCCGACCGGCCGGGGTCTCCGCGGGCCGCGGCGTCAGCTGCGCCGGGGGGAGACCCCGGGGCGCATCGCGGGCTCGGCCGGTCGGGCGGGGCCTGGCCAGGGTCCGGCCGCGCTCGCTCTCGCTCTCCGCAGCCCCACGCCCGTCGCTCTCCGCCCGCGCTCAGCGCGGCCCGCGCGCAGCCATTAGGATCGCGGCCGCCGGAGCTCCCGCAGCGCCGCCGCTGCCGATAGCTGAGACGAGGCCCGCCCGGGCCGGGGGCGGGGCGAGCGCGGGGGTGGGGCGGGACCGCCAGGGGGCGTGGCAGGATTCGGGGGCGGGGCCTGCGGGAGGTGGGACGGGGATACGAGAGGCAGGGCGGGGCCTGAGGGGGCGGAACAGGGATGTGAGGGGCGGGGCGGGGCGGGGACTTGGGGAGGGGAGGGGCATGTGGGCGGGGTGAGACTGCAGGGGCGGGGACTGCGGGGAAGGCGGAGAGGGTGTGGGAGGGGCGGGGTGTGGAATCGAGGCAGGGCCTGAGGGGTGGGGCCTGCGCGGGGCGCTCCTGCGAAGGCCTCGGCGCTCGCAGCCACGCTCCTGTCAGTCAGCGACCGCCCCGCCTTACCCCACGCCGCGGCGGCGCACTGACTCCTCCCGCACCCCATGACGTCATGGCCCTGCTTCGACGGCGCTTCTTAAAGGGGCCGCGCGCTGCTCCGGGCTCGACCGGGCGCGACCCCCTTGCTCCCGGGCAGGGGTTGCGGTGGGAGCACGTGGCTCTGTGCGGACTGCGCCGGACCCACGGAGAGGAGGGCGGCGAGGCCGGGCCGCCGGACCGGACGGCTGAAGGCAGCAGGCGCGCTGGGGTCGGTGGGGTCTCCCCAGCCCACCCTCCGCGCCAGGCCGTCCGCGGAAATGAAATGGCCACTGGTGACGGGAGACGCGCGGACAGTGCAGTGAAAAATGACAAGTAGCCGCCAACACTAACGGTGGCACGAGGTTCTGTCCACCCGGTCTTTGCAGGTGACGGTGACCGCGTATCCAGGACGGTTCTCAAGGCTCTGAAGGCGCATCTCGGCCGCGCGGCCGCCTTTCCACGGCGCCGGTTTGGACAGTGTCCGAGGGGAGACGAGAGATGTGCGCGCTGCTCCCTTAGGGCAGGCGACACCACCACCTGTCAGGGCCTGGGGCGCAGGCCCTGGGCTGCGGGCCCTGTAGGGAAGGCATCCCCTCCTGCCTACAGCGACCGCTCAGCCTGACAACTTGAACCCATTTCACTTAAAACCACTGTCCCGTCCATGCAGCAGCTGTCGGCTGTGGACTGAATGTGTCCCCAGAATTCGTAGATTGAAGCCCAACCCCTAGTGTGGCTGCCTGTGGGGACGGGGCCTCCTGGGGGCTAATTCAGGATAAATGGGGTCTTAAGGGTGGGGCCCTCTTCCAACAGTGTTGGCCTCTCTATAAGGAAAGACCACAGAGCACCTGCTGTCCCTCACCCACAGCCTCCCACCCTGAACAGAGGACAGAGAAGAGGTCATGGGAACACACAGCAGGAAGGTGGCAATCCACAAACCAAACACAGAACCCTTTGGAACAGCGCCCCCGATTCTAGCCTCCAGAACTGTAAGAAATAAACCTGTTGTTTAGGTTGCCCAGTCTGTTACGGCAGCACGAGCTGACTGACACAGCATCTCTCGTTTTACTTTTTTACAAAAGCAGCACATGCCAGGGATGCCCTTAGCAGAAGCCAAATGCAAGGGCCTCACTGATGCCTGGGACCTATTTCCTAGGAAATGGCTTCGCCTCCTCCCCTCCCCTCCCCTCGAGCTGTTTTCTTACTCCCTCCCCAGCCCTCTGTGGCCCAGAAACACCACTGCCCACGTGCACACCGGCACATAGGTACACATGCGCTGGCACGCACGCACACGCGCACACACACACACACACACACACACACACACACTCTCACTCTGAGACTGCACCTAAATTAGAGAAAATTAACTAGAGAAACTCCAGCCCCACGGCCCTAGCTCAGGTCCCAGGGGGTGTCTGCGCTGAGCACCGGAGCTCCTGGCCTCTGCACATGTGCCCCCTCGCTCCAAGATGGCGCCCCTTCCCCCCTCTCCCAGCCGCCAGCGGGTCCTCCCTGCCCAGGGATGCCCTTACCCTTCACAGGGGAACATTTGCAGTCTGAGGCCCCCCAGCAGCTGGGCCTCCTCCGTCTGGCCACCCCCTCTGCGTGGTTCCATCATCCACCATTTTCTCCCATGTCTCCACTCCCTTTGCTGCTAACCCACTCCTTAAAGTCAACCAGCCTTTGCCCCGGGACCCGTGGCCCCTCCCCTCCAGGCCCTCAGACCGCGCCTCTTTGTGCACGCAGCCCACTGGGGCCGTGCTCACCGTGATCGCTGTCTCCTGGTTCAGCCATGTGCCCGACCGCCGCACACCCCTGAGGGCAGAGCCACCTCGAACCCAGCGGGTGGCCGCACACCCCTGATTTCGCGCTGCCTCGTGGGCCCGCGGCCGTGTCAAGGCCATGGCAACCGTGTTCGTCTCTGTGCCCCAGAGGTGACTTGACTGGCCTCTTCTGCTCAGGCTTGTCCAATGCCCCTTCCTCCATCAGACCCCTCTGAGCGCCCCCAGCGCACCCCATGCATCCCCCTCACATCACCCATCTCACCATGGAAGCCAGGCTCTCCTTTCCCCTCTGCCTGTTGACTGCCTCCCCTCCCCCACCGCCTGGGCACAGCCCGTCACAGAGAAACACTCCGTGAGTATGTATCACAGGAATCGATGACACGCCGAAGCCATCACCATGCCCGGGGCCAGGGCTTTCCAACTTTCAGAGATGTGGAACATTGACCACCTGTGTTAGAAGCCACGTTCCTAAAATCATTTTTGCTTGACTCCCTTCTTACCTTTGGAACACTGTTCCATGTCTGTTACCTTTGCAATCGTAGTAAGAAGAAGCAAGAGGAGGAGAAAGAAGACGTTCTGCAAAGGCTGCTTTCCTGGCCCAGGAGAGGCCTGGCTTAGCCCCTCAGTGTTCGAGGGCGGCGGAGGGTAGGTGGAGGCAGCCCGGGCTGCGGCAGGGGCTCCTCAGGGGAGCCAGCCCACTGCGACCCGGCCCGCTCAGCCAGACACCCTCTGGGCTCCCAGGAGGGAGGCTGACCCAATTCTTTGATTAAACAGCAATATGCTGTAAGCTTTTTTTTTTAAAAAAGGACAGTATGTTAGCCACTAAGTGTATCACATGTTTACTTCGTTTAAGATAGTAACCAATTTATCTATGGATTCAGATTAGCCGATGGTTGAGAGGTTTACAGCTGGGATTCCTCCTCCACAGGCTTAAAAGTTATCCTCCCTCAGGGGCTTCCCTGGTGGCGCAGTGGCTGAGTTCGCCTGCCGATGCAGGGGACACAGGTTCGTGCCCTGGTCCGGGAAGATCCCACATGCCGCGGAGCAACTGAGCCCGTGAGCCATGGCCACTGAGCCTGCGCTCTAGAGCCTGCGAGCCACAACTACAAAGACCCAACACAGCCAAAACTAAATTAAATATATAAATTTATAAAAATTTTAAAAAAAAGAGTTCTTCTTCTTCAGATGGACAGAGAGACAGATGGATGGATAGATAGATGGTACTTTGTAGCTGCACGATGTGCTTCAATCATTGAATAATCGATCTTCAATACTCCTGCAGGGTGGGTCAACCTTATTCTGTTGTATGTAAAAACACTAGGTTAACTGACTCACTCAAGCTAATTTTCTGCAGGCAGACAGGCTGGCTGGACGCACAGTGCAAGGAATCTAGGGCTCTGTCCTCTTTTTGAGGGGCTGGACTCGGTTCTTTAGCCAGAGGTATTTTTTGCCATTAGCAAAGTAATGGGAATTTTACTCCCCGGCCTCAAATTCATCCGAGCCAGTGAGGCTTCTTTCCCTCTGAATTCTCTGGCTGCTCCTCATTAACCAGCTTAGTGATTCTATCGCTTCGCAAGCACCGGATGTGTGCGAGGTGCTTTGCAGTTCTTATTTCTGGGCCTCACAGCAGTCTTAAGAGGTGTGTATCCCTGTTTTATAGATAAGAAAACCAAGCCTTCAAGATTAAAAAGCTGTCCAGCTTCACATGCCAACTGGTACGGGGCCAGGACTCCAGGCCCAGCTGGTCCCCAGCAGCATCACGCGGCCTTCACCTCCATCCAGCCATTCATTCATGTATTCCTTCAGCTGACATTTATCGAGCACCTTCTCTGTGCTGTGTGCTATTCTGGACACCATGGCTAAGACGGCAAAGGTCCACAGGAAGCCCGAGGTTCCCGCAGGAGAGCAGGCAGGGAACACGTGCGCAGGCACTCGCTGAGGTGCTGCCCTGCCAGCTTACTGGACGTTTCCTCGTGGAAGCCAAACGCTCACCGTAGGATGTTTGAAACAAGAGAGTTGTACACAGAGTGTGACAAGGGGAAGCAGCCCCTCAGGACTTCACAACACATCCCCAGCATCTCACCATCTCCGTAGCACTCAGCCCCATCCCCAGCGCTCTGACCCTCCTGCACACTCGGCACCACTGAAAACTCTCCCTATATGTTATTAATGTGAAGTATTTACTTTGCCATTCACCTGACCAGTGACACCCTAGTGTTGTAAGTTGAGGTCGTTTCCAGTTTTGCGTGATGAGGTCAAGGAATTCAGAAAAGGTATTTGACAAAATGGAACATCCTTTTTAGGATAAAAACTCTCCACACACTAAAAATAAAGGGAACTTCCTAAATCTGATAAAGTGCATCTGGGAAGAGTTCACAGCTAACATCGTATTTAGTGCTGACAGACTGAACACTTGCTCCCTGAGTCTTGGAACAAGGCAGGAGTGGCCACTCTCACCCCTTCTGTTCAACATGAACGAAAGAGCTGTCTGTACAATAAAATAAGGAAAAGAAATGAAGGTCATACAGATTGGTAAGGAAGAAGTAAAACTGCCTTTGCTTTCAGGCAGCGTGATCATCTACGTAGGAAAGCCTAAGCAATCTACAAAAAATGTCACTGAATAAGTGAATTTAACAAGGTCATGGAATACAAGTTAATATTCCGAAATCAACTATATGGCTATATATCAGAAATGAACACTAGAAAAATAAAATTTTAAATCATTTCCATTTACAGTAACGTGAAAATTTAAATGTGTAGGAATAAATGTAACAAAAGATGTACAAGAAACCTACAAAACATGGAGGATTAAAATTAAAGAAGACCT